GAGTTTTATTTGCCTGCTCTGGTCGGCCATACTGCTGCTCTGGTCAACGGACCGAACCACGTCATCAGTTTGCTGTCCGTCGGTGTCTCTGCCGTTAGGGGGCGCTGGGCTCACACTGCCACTTCACGTTAGATTAGTTGGGCACAAATATAACCAATTTATTGTTTTATGGCCAGTTTTTATTTACAAATCCCTGTTTCCTTTATCGAGTTAATATGTTTTGATTTGGAAATGTAAGGTGTCTGATACTTTTAACAATGTTTACGACAAAATGTATCCCATTGTGACTTCATTTTTGTCGTCTTTCTGTCTTTAACGTTACGTGTTCTTCCTTGTCTTGTGTTCTTATGGGTTTGTTTACTTATTCAACTATTATAATTCAAGAAACGGGAACAGTTAATAAATATCACGGAAATCTATCTTTATTTCGTTTATGAGAAATGTATTTATTTTATTTTCATTTTGCTTGTTGTAGGATAATATGTTTATTTGTGCAATGCTGAGCACTATGCATTATCTATGACAGTCTATCAGATTGCTAATACAGATGATCAGAGAAACACTCAATCATTCATACATGGTGATTTCAGTCTCTTATCAACCTTACCTACATGCAATTTTATTTACATATCAATGGAGAGTGATGTCTGCAGAGACCTGGGTGAAATCTGACACTGGGAAGAACACACAAACTTAATGGGCCATTAAAAAATTCTAATAATAAATCAATACCATCTACTATTTGTATAATAAAAAAGAAAAAAATACTATATTAAACATTTAATTATTGGTATATAAAGAATAAATCTGCAGTTATTTAACTAAAATGAACTGCAGTGCAGATCAATGTACAACATTCAATGAAGTCTTCAATTTTAGCTCCATATTCACACAAGAACATCAGAGAACCAGAGGGTACTTTATGTTAAAACACATCTATGATGAGAAAAGAATCCATGGAAAATCTGTGTAATCTTTGTACACAGAAATGTGTCATATTTTTGTTAGTCATAGTTATACTAATAGTTACAACTATGTAGGGAAGGCAAGAAATTCATAATTGAAAGTAGTCTGGTTTGCAGGTTGCAGTCTGAACTTGAAATTAGTGAATTTTAAAAATATTTGTAAATTAATATCCACAATGAAACAAAACAACAAATGATGACAAGAAAACCCCAATACTGGTGATTTGTTAAAATACATAATAATGCTGTTTTAGGGCTAATCTTAATTGTGATTAATATGTGTATTAATAAGTGTCTTGCTGGAGATCACTGAGATACTGGAGGTCAGCCATTCTGAAATCTGACCGCCTCCTCCAGCATTCAGCCAGCAATGGTTCTTCCTTCTAGATGAGGGAAAAAGAGAAAAAAGGAAAATATTTAAAAAGAAGGGACCTGCTCCAAGGTTCTCCTCATGCTTACATTTGTAGCTTGTCAAAAAACTACATTTCTAGGCTAGTTGGTGCTCCAGAATCCCTCTGAGGACACATCAGTTACAGTTGTGCATTTCTTCCAGTCTGACTCACAACACTCATGCAGAGCCCAGAGAAGGCCTTGGGTCGGGCAAGAGGAACTCATTGGTGGGGACAGAGGTCAGCAGGAGACATGTCAAAGCTTGAGTTGCCTTCAAGGAAGAGTACCACTTAAAACTGTTTACAACCCCTTATTTCACCTGTTTCTAATACGAAACATTGACTCGTTTAAGAATTTTCTAGAATCTAGTTTAAAATAATCAACAGTTTCAGTAATTTTCTAGAAGTTATGCTGGTTTGAGTCCTTCAAACAATCCCTCAAACAAAATTGTTTCACAGATTTTTTTCTATTTTTTCTTCTAGTAATTTCTACAATTTTCCTGAATTTACTTATTCAGAAATGTAGAAATTAGTGAGTGTATCTCAAGTCAAAACCGAATAAGGCCAATGACTGCAATAATATCAATACAATGATCCATGATGCAAGAAGATTTGAAGCAGTTGACTTAATCTCATCTCATTGGCTGATTTGTTTTGTTTTAAGAGTATTTTTCTCAGTGTTTCTCATATTTAGCATACATACAAGTAATAAGGATGACTAGGCCTACAACAGAAGAGGGCCATGTGTTTGTTGAAAATAAACAGAACAGGTGAACGTCATACACAAGACAAACACATTTAAAAGGGTTCATATAGACTCAAGTGAGGCTTTGGCAACCAGTTACCTAACCTTGACCTATTTATACTTTTGTCATAGGAGACTGTAAAAAAAGAATACAGTGTATGTGGTTTTGTTTGATGTGGGCTGTAACCTGCTACACCTGGAGTGCACAAACTAATTAAGTACATCTGTGATCAATATGTGATCACTGAGACCCTATAGGCTTGAGTGTCCATGTTAAAATTTGATAATCAAATCTTTGGACGCAGAGTTGCAAGTGTTTACATCAGGTTTATGTTTACTGATGAAAGTCCATACAGTCAAGTTCATCTAATGTAACATTTGCTATTAGGCTTCTAATCACAGACATAGGCTATTACACAGACCTCTTACATGTCTGACTCACTATACTGAGTCATTATTACTACTAATGATACCAACACAGAACCAACACAGGCACACTCCTTGAAACTACAACAACATGAGAATGTCATCCAATACATGTGGGGCCATTATTATAAAAAAAAAAACCCCAAAAAACCAGCACAAACTTTAAATGTAATGTTACACAATGTGAAAATGCACCCTTCCTCAATCTCTAGACTGGCGTGTCGCTCCTCCAACAGTGTGCCTGAATCCACTTGACAGACAGCCAATCAGCGTCGGCGCAGTGGGCAAAAGTCGTGACGTCGCCTCGACTGAATGTGCGCAAATCAGCGGCTTCCAGCGTGCCGGGTGGAACCAATCAGCGCCTTCCAACGAGCAGCTGCTCAGCCAATCGCGTACCTCCACGACGCGGAAGAAGTGACGGCTTATATATGGAAAGAGAACGGTTCATTCAACATCATTTCACAGAGGAAAGATTACAGAATAGGCAAATTAAGAGACACACACTTCGCAAGAAGAGGCTACTACAAGTAGAGGCAACGTCAAGGCCGTTAATTCACTGACAACACTACGAGTAAGGTATGTGTAAACATTGTTGTGAATATGATAATGCGACAACAAGTATTTGGTATTTTCTTCAACGCTGGACGTCATTTTAAGACAGTTTCATTACGATGGAGCCAGCTAAGCTAACGTTTGACGATGGTGACCTATTCACACGAGGTTTGCCATAGCTTTTTAAAATCAAATGGGTATTCAATGTGATTTCAGCGTACCATGCAAAAATAATGTACTTTTTAGTGCTCGTTATGGCAAAGTATTCCTCCCTCACATGTCTGCTAGACACGCTAACGTGGTTAGCTAGCTACCGGCGGATGGGG